GGCCAATTGTCTCGTAAATTGCTAATCCTAATTGTACAAAATTTGGATTACACCTATTTTTGGATACGGAGATTCCAGATTTGATATTTGCAATGTTGCCAGATTTGCCGTTTCTCTTATATTATTAATCAATTTGGTTTTTCAAATTCATCACCCTGTATATTCAGTCATTATTGGAATCTCCTATTCATTGATTTTATGTAGTCTGGAAGGTCTTAAACAAATAAAATCATGGAGAAATGTGGTAAACGCATTCTACCATCGATTAGGGTACTGTCAACTCCCAAATGGAGCACATTTTACGAGATGCTAAATGCCACTGGTAGCTCCATAATACGCATGCTCGCTAAATGTGTCATCAAGATTGGCGCGGTTTTTAACTTGTCATTCTCTCCTTTGTTCATTCTAAAAGAGTGATAATTTTTGTTTATCAAAATGGAATGTTGTAATACTCCGTTTGTGAGAATTTGTTTTCTTAGAATTCCAATTTATATAGACACAGTCGGTTTGGAAACAGAAACAGGACTGCAATACCTAACTCATCCTACCAAAAAAGTGAAAGTTTAATACAGCAAGTTCACAATTACAAAATATTGTATTTGCAAATAAAAATGGTAAGTGTCCCCAATATGATTTTTTAAGCACCAATATTTAAAAGCTGAAAAAACAATTTTGAAATGGTTAATATAAGTGTAACTAATATCTACACTATAGCTAGATCGTAAAAGAGTACTGGAGGAAATGTTATTTATTATAACCACAATCTAACAAAAACAGATAAGATGAATAATTTTCGGTTGTTTAAAACATTAAATGCAAATTTAACAGGTAAGCAATGCGCAGAACTATGAAGTAGCTTGTTGAAAAGTCACGGAGGTTTTGTAAATTAGATGTTATTGCTTGTTGTTGCACAAGTCATATAAAGCTAACAGATGATGAGAATAAGCAGTAAATATGTACCCTTTCAAACTATATATTATGGTCACAATCTAGATTTGCAACACCTAAGAATTTCAAAAGTGAATAAAAGGGTCTACTACCTAAAGCTTCAAAATTATTTGCGTTGCGAGTATACAAAATCCGGTAAAATAATATTATTGTGTTTTATTGTAATAACATATATTTTTTTAATAATTTGACTATATTATTATTATTATTATTATTATTATACATAATGTAATGTGAGCCATTTCATTATTCAGTCATGCTCTAATACTCCAAGTCCCTCTCTGTATTATTTGGCCTTTGAGGCTCAACTTGTCCGATTATCATACATAATTAAACCCCTAAGACCAAACCTATGTGACGACTATGGCGGAAGAGTTTTTGATTAATGTTCGAGAAAAGACGGGATAATGTTTCTAGAGAATTTGGTGAACTTTCTAGCTCATTCGCCAAACTTTTAAATTTGTATATAAATATTGGTGGAGAACCAAGAGGCAGTTAGTTATTATATGGACAGTGAAGATAAATAGTGATCAGTTTAAAGACATTCGAAATATATATATATATATATAAATTAGAACAGTAGTGTTATAAAATAAATAAGTGTTTAAATGAATTATTGATAAATAAACTGTTGTTTTAAAATAAACAAACATCACAATAATATATATTTTCAATAAAAATCTTTGTTTTTATTGGTTATATAGGTAATTTTATTAGGTATAGTCACAAGTTTAAAATTAACATTCCAAATATGATTATGGCTTATATCGAAACATTTGTAGTGCGTAATTACATAAATATACCTAATGAAATTATATGACCGATTAAATTCATGGAAGTTTTTTAATGAAAATGTATAGTTTTATAACTATTATTCTGTCTCTAGGAACCATTTTTCATGAAAAACGTTTTAGTCTAATTAAAGTTAAAGTTAAAAGAGATGAATATCTTTAATAAAAACAAGGTATTGACAAAATGACCTCATCTTATTTGGGTTAATGTATATATTATTTTGATAACATATATTTTTGTTAATTTATTAAATAGTCAAATAAAAACTAAATCAAAAAATTATTATTTGTTAAAGTAAATCAGACATTTGTTAAATTACACAAATAAGATTGTCTTCAAGAACAGCAGCAATTAAGCTCCCAATAAGAATATTGTTCCTTGTTTTATTTTTTTATTTTAATCACTTATTTTGAATGTTCTATTTACTGCATATATAATTTTTAAGACGCCCTCCATTATTTAAATACATTAAAAAACTATTTAAACACCTATTTTTAATATCCTTACTTACTGTATTATTAACAGTTTTTAAAAGTCCCTTTATTTTTTATATCTGATAATTAGTGAAATACGTAAAAAGATTGCTTTTACATGTTTTAAAACTTTGCCGCGTATATTTACATCATTCTTATGACAATTTAGCGAGCATGCGCATTATATGGAGCCACCAGTGGCATTTAGCATCTCGTCACATGATAAAGTAACCATTATGTTAAAAATGCTATAATCTTTTAATTGTTACGTTTTAATATAGTTGCAAATAGTTTGTATTAAAAAATTTATTGAGACAATTAGGCATTGCCAGATTTATTTTATTTATTTAATACCTTTTAAACTACATAAAATTATAAGTATTACATATGGTTAAACTCATATTGAAAAGGAGATTCCAATAATGATTGAATATACAGGGTGATGAATTTGAAAAACCAAAGTGACTAATAATTTAAGAGAAACGGCAAATCTGGCAACATTGCAAATATCAAATCTGGAATTACCGTATTCCAAAATAGGTGAACCTCATATTTTGTACAATTAGTAATAGCAATTTACGAGATAATTGGCCGTTTCCAGACTTTTGGGCCACTCTGTATATAATTCACAAAGAAAGTGACATCCAGCCGCACAGCGAATATCGAAAAAAACAGTTATTAAATTGCAAAACTAGAATACCCAATTGTAATTTTTTATTGACCGCCCTTTAAAAACCATACTATTTTCCTAATACGCTAGAATTAATACATGCTCGGCAACTATGTACCTGTCTTAACCCACCAAGAGTATGCTGTTAAGAGCAACCAGGATATCTCGTAAGTTTAGTTTAAAGCCATACGCTCTATTTTTTATCTGATTTTCATGAAATTTTTTTCAGTTATTAATCAATATTTATTACTTGGGGCAGAAACAATCTTTTTTTTTAATTTTTTTTTTTTTTTATTAATTATATACATTTTTGGAAATTTTTAATGTTTCTACCCCAATGTATACTAAATTTAAAAATTTTTGACGGTCTTTATTTTTTAAAAGAGTAAATACTTTTTAAATGGGATTAAAATTGCGCTTTTTAAATAAAATTGGCCGGCAGGTGCTGCTACCACTCTGCTATAACGGGCGAGGCTCGATGTGGCAACGCTGCACCGAGCGATATCGACAAACATTATTTCGCTCTGCATTATTTGGTATATTACTGTCAGTCGTAGAATTTTTTATATTTTTGAAATACTAGTAACATAATATTTCTATTTAATTAATATTTTGAATTACGTATTTTTTTTTTTAAATAACTAGTAATTTTTATAATAAACATTGCATCTCATTTATCGGTTTTGAAGATTGTAGGAGGAAAGCAAAAATGTCGTTTTGGAATTATTCGAGTTGTGATTATTTTTCAAAGAAAATATATTTAGGGAAGAATAAAAGGTGACATGGATGGACATGCGATAATAAAAAAATTATCTATTTTTATATGTGTGAAATATTTATTTGTTTTTTTATAAATTTACATTTCTTAATTCTTTTCTACAGTTTTGTCTTATGTTTAAGTTCCTTGTTACCCTTGTATCAACTAGCTCTAGAAGAAGACAGTTGAAACAAAATAGTTTTAATTTAGGAACCATTTCGTTTAACCAGACGTTCTCATCTTTATAAATCTAAAAAAAGGACATTCATAAAGTTAAAAAAAGTTAATTGATACCTAGTTACCTCTGTAATTAAGCAACCTTTTGGACTCCATATAACGAAGTAGCATTTTTATTTTTTTTTGTTATTGCTAATTGCCCTTGGACCTGAAAATAATATTCATGTCTTCTATTGAGTGCGAAGGAATCATTTTCAAGTTTGGCATATTTTAATTTTTTTGTTCGTATGCTCTCTTCTGGACTCATGTCCTTAATATTCAAAGGACACTTTATTTTTTAAATGGCGTTGTTACCCATCAATCCATCTGGACTAGCACCCAAAAAACTATATTCTTTATCGATGACTACCCTACATTTTTTTACTTTGTGTTTGGAGATTGCCTCAAAATCTTCGATTGCAAACGGCTCGTTTAATTTCCCATATTGTGTCGCATTGTTGCCTTTAAATTTGTTGTATATTATTACTTTAATTAAGTTGATGCTGCTAGTGTTTGCTTTTAGTTTACAAATTTTTTGAAAATTTGATGCGGTTATCCTTTTTTGTCTCTCTTTCAACCACAGAATGGAAGAGATCTGTTCCTTGGTAAGAGCTTCTATTATATCAATCTCTTCTTGCGTTTTATTTTACATATTTAGGAATTCCAGTACTTTCAAATTATACTCATTTTCGTCCATATTAGGAATAGGTTCGTGGATATTACCATAGTCTCTATCTGGAAGAGCGTATTTTTTTTTCAATCGACGCTCCTTTCTTTCGTTAGTTTCGCAAATCTTAGTTTCCTTTTTCCAATTATTTTTAAATATTTCTTTGTATATGTATTGGGCTCATTTCCTGTTATTGCCTTATGGAGAATATCATAATATTCTGCTCCCTTGAATGATATCACCGCAGCTTTACATCCCGTCTGATCGGAATTCCTTTTCGAAATTTCCTCCAATGAATTTGCAAACTATTAATTTATAATGTTCAGCAAGATTATTATTTATATTGTGAACCAAACTTTTAACATTTAAAATAAGTCGATTCAAGCAAACCAGGATATCTCTGTATAACCCTCATTCTTTCATAAATGTTAAAAACTGGGTGTCTTTTCTGTCACATTTAAAATAATTGATTGCTTCTCATTCGGAATGTTCACAAAACACATTGAGGATATCTCTTTTCAACAGTTCTACTTTCTTTTTAAAATCGGTGTTTTCTTTAATTCGATATTTCGTTGCCTTACTGATAGCAAATCTTAAACAATTTGAAATTTTTCCACCTCTTTTCTTGGGTAAACTGGTACAGAAGAATTCGCAAAAACACTTCGGGGTTTCTCTAAAAATATAATATTATAATGTCATTAAAGAATTTACTCATGTTAGGTATAAGTAATTAAAGAATTTACTCACTGACTATATCTCTTAATTTCGAAGAAAAATTCCTAAGCAGATGGTGTCAACATTTAATTTTCCAAATTGCTGTTTGTGGACCATACGGTTTCGTTTCCATCAGTTTCTTATACACAGAAATGTCACCATCGCCAACCAAGGTGACATATTTTAAACCACGTGTATGTATACTGCTTCGAAATCCTTCAATAATAATGTCTGTTTCCATTGATGTAGACGTACCGGTCCAGTTTTTAAAACATTTATGTTGAGGTATTTCTAACTGTTTCCTGTCGTAAAAATCACAAGTACTGCAGAATTTGTTTCTAACTCCCACATATAATAATTTTTCAGTCCGGTAACCTACAATACATCCCTAAAAAGAATAATGTTAAAAATATCAACTTCTACTTGTATAAAATTTAGACCTACCACGCCAGAAGAAGCATTATAGTTGACGTTATATGATTGTTTTGACCATGCTCCATCTGCTACCACAGTTATAAATGGAATCCCATTTTCATCTACTTCTCCTAAGCTTTTGGCCAACTCTGCTTACTCTCTTCCAGCTTCTTCCATTGCTTGCGTGGCTGCTGAGTAAATTGCATCAGCCACTTTGTCGTGATAGTGGACGTACGTTTTCTCCGCAATCATTGGCATATTTATTGCAGCTGCTATTTCGGCTAAGGTTGAGTAACCGATACCAGTCGAAATTGCTCCCAAAGTCAGTGCCGAACTGATATCTGTTTAATCAGTGGTTTCTGAGAAATTTTTCGGATCTTCCGAATAAATTTTTTTAGTTATGCCACACATTTTACATTTAAAAGTATCACATCCAAACAGTCCGTACTTTTCTATATCAACAATTTGTTTAAATAGAAAAAGGATGTCTACTATCCTTCTTCCAGTGAGAATAAAATCATCGGAGATTGTCTCTTGCTCCAAAGGCACATTTATTTCTTTATCACTGGTCTCATAATTCCGACTATACCCAGGTTGCGGTTCGAACTAAACTATAACAGTATCACTGAAACTACGAGAATGTTCATCAGCTAGTACCAGATTTATTGTATGTTCAAGAGCATGAGGAATACTGAAATAAATGTAATAATTAAAACATTAAAATAGTAATGCAAACGTTCCGCAAAGAATCTACCCGAATACAGAATATTTGTCCCTGGTCAAAATTAACGTAACAATTAAAATTCTTAATTTTGTCCAGAGGTTTATATACTGCGGATTCCAATAATCAGTGTTTTAGATTGGGAACGAATTTTCCATATTTTTATTAGTATTATTGAAGGAAAAACAGAATTTTTTATTTTATATAAATAAAAATTTTTCATTAGTATATTCGGTCAATTTTTTTATTAAATTATTAAGCAAAACATATGTTTCCATCTTCTGGTGCAGTCAATTTATTTTTAAAAAACAAGGGGGACGAAAACAAACAGATTAAACTTTTTTAAAATGCTAAAGCCCCAGTTTATTTATTAATAATTTATTTAACCACTTATTTATTTTATAACACTACTATTTTAATTTATATATATTTCGAATGTCTTTGAATCGTTTACTATTTATATTCACCACTGTCTATCTACTAATGACTTTTCGTTGATCCTCCACCAATATTTATATACAAATTGGTGGATTTCAGAATGCTCATCCACCAAAACATCTCATATCTGAAATATATACCAGAAACATTATCACGTTGACTCAGGAATATTCGCTAAAATTAAATTATATATAATAATCAGACAAGTTGAGCCTCAAAGGCCAAATAAGACATATAAGGACTTGGAGGATTAGAGCATGACTGAATAATGAAATGGCTCACATAACAATATAATCCTCTATCACGTGATACAAAAATTCTTAGATGCATCCGATATGGATATTCAAACGCAGCATAATAATATTATATGCATTTTCTAGGATTCAAAATAATGACAGTTAACTATTAGACTATTAGGCGTTCCAAACAAAATGATTACTAGTGGGTTTTGACAGGTTATGATATTGCAAAATTATGGCAACCCTGTAGGCCTGGTGATTTGACAAGGTCAATGAAATAGATAGTTACATAAATTGATCATCCATATTTTTCAAAATAAACATAAGCTTATGCCTTGAAGTAAAAATAAAGGTAATTATTTTTGTTTACTATATTCAAAGACTAAATATTGGTTTGTCAACACATTTTTACAAGATTGATTCTGATTAATGCCACTTGCGAGGCAATATGGCCGCTCGTAAACGACTCGGCTTAGAGGAATCTATATAACTATATATGTATCACTGACCCTGTCAATGACACTAGGCTCACAGGGTTGCCATATCTAAACATCAGTTCCCACTAAGAATGGCTTCAGGATTTACTGGCAGATCTAAGGTTTGTCCTTGTTAAAAACTAGAGAGTTATTGCAAGTTCAACTAAGGTCAGTCACTATTAGCGTCGCTCTTATTTTGACATCTGAGCATGCACAGATCGTTTACGTTCTAGAACTGATTTTAATAAAGATTTTGCCTGTCCGTAATTGTGGATATTTAAGGACAGCAGATAGTAGATAGTTATTGCAAATTTCTATAACGTCAGTCACTAATAGTGACGACGTAATTAGAGGCAAATAAATTCCATGCTAAAATAAGACTTATTGCAAACCTGAAATTTTGACATTAGAGTCCTTGTCCTTATACATATTTCTAACCTCATTTAAAAATTTCAATTGCACTTTATCTTTTTTGTTGTTTATAAGAGTAAATAATATGGAAAAGGCATTATAAATTACTATTTTAGAAGGTTTATATGACGATAATATTAAATATTTAATATTAAAAAACTTCAAAATAATACGAATGTTGGCGAGCGCACCCGAAAACTATTAAAGTCACCACTAATTACTGACCTTAAACATCCACAATTAAGGACAGGCACAATCTTTATTAAAGTCAGTTCTAGAATATAAGTGATCTGCGCATGCTTAGATGTCAAAATAAGAGCGGCAGTAATAGTGACTGACCTTTAGTGAACTTGCAATAACTCTCTATTAACGACTTAATAGCTTTTAGGTGTACTCGCCGATATTCGTATCAGTCGAAGTTTTTTAATAATAAATATTAAATATAATTGTCATCTAAACCTTCTAAAATGGTAATTTCTACTTCCTCTTCCATATTATGTAATATTCTGTAGACAACAAAAAAGATTAACTGTAATTTAAAATTTTTAAATTAATTTTGAAAATATGTATAAGGACAAGGACCTAATGTCAAACCTCAGGTTTGCAATAAGTCTTATTTTAGCATGAAATATTTTTGCTTACAATTACATTGTCACTATTAGTTGCTGTCGTTATAGAAATTTGCAATAACTATCTACTATCTGCTTTCCTTAAATATCCATAATTACGGACAGGCACAATCTTTATTAAAATCAGTTCTAGAACGTAAACGATCTGTGCATGCTAGATGTCAAAATAAGAGCGACGCTAATAGTGACGGACCTTAGTTGAACTTGCAATAATAGTATACGAAAATTTTCGTATGAGTTAGAAATTAGCAGCCCTGGGTGGATGCTTTGATAATCTAAGGAGCTACAATAAACTAGATTTTTATTAATTTAAAACTCTATTTCTTACGCTTGTATGCACTGTACACGTTTTATCCAGATCAAGGGTTTAATCGCGTTTAGTACCATAGCTAAAAATGGTACTAAACGCGATTAAACCCTTGATCTGGATTAAACGTGTACGGTGCATACGGGCGTTAATCACTACTATCCTGTCATCGTCTGAATATCTAAAATCAAACTTGAATCTACCTAACTAACTAATCTATTAATCATTATTTGTTATCATTTATTAAACGTTGCTATTGGCTTATCAAATATTGACAGACACTGTCAGATTGCAAGATCCAGCATGTCTACGAATTTTGAAGTAATATCTAATTCAACACTAATAGAATAACTAACAATATTTTACGAATGAATTTATTATTAGAATCTTTTACGATTGTAAAGAAATACAAAGCATCCTGTGTTACAAGAACATTCATTAAAATTTACGAAACTGATAAATTTTGACAGATTTGTTAATATTAAAAACAGTAAATTCTTTATCATTATATTACATTAAAATCAATTTTTAAAGGCAGTTCCATTTGGATTATAAATGTGAGATTTATTTTGAATTTATGCTGACAAAAAAATTTATAACCGCCACTTTTTAAAACTTATCTTCACGTTTAAGAATATTAGAGAGTTGAAGTGTTTCTAGTACGTTAACGTAAACCTTAACGTCAAAGCACAAAAATCATGTTAACGAAGAAGTCCAAAATATGAGTTGAAGTTGTTAAACGCATCGTGAGGATCGGGGGTGGTCTTAGAACATATATAGTCAGGAAGGAGCATGCCATGTCCGCGTTAATCTAATCGATCTGACGGAAGTGGTAGCCGTGTTGTACTATGGATGACTCATGGTTTCTAAAATTGGTTTATAATTTTAGTGATTAAAATTTGTTAATAATTTAAATGTTTTATGTGTTAATTTAAACTTTTATTAAGCGTATGTTTTGTAGACATTTGTGAAAAGTGTTTAGTGTTTTGATATTTATTTAGTATTACTGTTAATTTTAAATTTTCCGCGGTAAAAGACAAACAAAACAATATGGCCAGTTGTTCGTTTTGTGGATATAGCAGCACAGCTAAAAGTAGAAAGGAATAATCTACATTTCATAAGCAAGTATTTTGTTCTCTCAATTTTCAACCACATTAAAGATTTTTAAAATTTTTAATGTTTTAAATTTGTAAACAAACATGATAAGTGCGTCTGCGATTAACTGTGCTCATAGGCGTATTCTTATAGTTTATACGGTATACATACTTTTATTTAAACAATTCTTTTATGCAATTTTAAGATATTTATGTGATTGTGAAAATAA